CTAAACCTTAAACCCTAAACCCTAAACCCTACACCCTAAACCCTAAACCCTAAACCCTAAACCCTAAACCCTAGACCCTAGACCCTAGACCCTAGACCCACCCGCATTCCACGACTCATGCGCTGCTATCGAGGCGGCCGCAGAGCAGCTGTTTTCCCAAATGGTGGCGAAGGGCCGCTCGATGCAGCCGAGCAACTGAAAAGCAGTTCCCAGAGAAAGGGAACAGTAGTATAGCATGAAGGCTCTGCTAACTTCCTTAACTTCCTTAACTTCCTTAACAAGAACCCAGTGATATATTCGGGGCTCCCCTCCCCCTGTCGCAGCCTTTAACGCTGCTTCCCGTTCAGAAGTCTTTGATCGGTATATGGTCAGTTCTCTAGATGATGATGGTCTCATTTGGGTACCTTAGCAAAGAGGTGCCTTGTATAATATGAACTTCCAAAAGGACCATATTTTACAGAAGTGCCCACATGGGGTGAAGGGTTTAGGGTTTCGGGGGGGGGGGGGGTGTAGGGCTACTGTCCGAAAACCTTGGACCTTCTGCATCATTTGCCCTAAACCCTAAACCCTAAATCCTACACCCTAAACCGCGAAAGAAGGACTGTGTAGATGAAATTGGGGACTCTGGGGGTTTAGGGTGCCACGCTCTTAGGGGCGCTCGGTGGCCACTTGTCCTTTTTCTGAGTAACCCTAAACCTCTTGGGTTCCCGTAACACCCCCCTCTATGCTACCCCGCCTAGGTTGCCGCCATAAGTAAGGCTGTGCAGGGATAATCAATCCTTATTCAGGTTTATTTAAGGGGGGAACCTAGGGGGGGGAGTATAGAGGGGGGCAGACAGCAAATCCATGACAAACCCTTCCTTGGCAGCCCTCAGCCTACTTTGTTGTTTGCCCAAGAACCTGAATTATAAGGTCACGGTAAACCCCTAAACCCTAAACCCTAAACCCTAAACCCTAAACCCTAAGGAGCTCAAAAGCTCTACACGGTTCTGCGTCCGCCATCCGGTGGAAGCTTCTGCTTAGACGGCGTTTAGGAAAGACCGGGGGCTGGCGCAGCATTTGGAACCCCCAAAAGGAAGCAATTGAAGAGCATGCTGAGTTCTGCTATTTGCACAAGAGCCCCCCTCTAAAATTACAAAATGTTCTTCCTTCGAGGGACAATATAGGGATTGTTAGGATTATTATTTGTATGTTCAACACAGTTCGGGGGTTCTTGCGCAAACAGCAAAGATCCGGATAGAAGGACCAAAGGTGGCACTCTTCGTGAAATCACTGAGGTCCCATGGCAATGCTGAGAGCTTCATGAAGCCCCCGAGTCATACAGAATTCTCGAAGCCCTAAACCCTAAACCCTAAGCCCTGGACCCTATACCTTGAACACTAAACCTTAAACCCTAAACCCCGCTGAATGGCTAATATGAGCCGAGGTGTCCAGCCCGATCGCTATGCCTACGCCGCGGGTTCTGGGAATGTAAGAGGAAGGTTGGGATGTTCGCCCCTTATACTACCAGTCCTGAAATAGGGATTATAATTGGGGTACTATAGTCACCCTAAATCCTAAACCCTAAACCCTATTAAGGACTGTTAGTATGAGGGAGGACATCCCAAGAGGAACGTTTCAAGGAGACCTTCGGGCTTTGGGACAGGGGAGGGGACGAAGAACAAGTTGCGGAAGCCATTCTTGAATGGGTTTAGGGTGTGGGGGAGTTTAGGGCTTAGGGTTTAGGGTTTAGGGTTTAGGGCTTCGGGGCTAGGGTTTAGGGTAGCAGGCGCTTACATCTGTCACCTGCAGCTCCCTGGTTTGCAAGTACATGTCAAGTTGCTTCCTTCAAAACATGTGGTATAGGGTTTAGGGTTTAGGGTTTAGGGTTTAGGGTTTAGGGTTTCGGTTCCCTTAGAAGTAGTGAGTGTGATGCTGGAACCGGGCTGCTGTGAGCCGAGGCCTTCTGCAAACAGGTTCCCTTAGAAGCCCCTGTGAGCCACAAAGGGCAACCTTCAAAAACTCCTGGGTCTCTCTTGGGTCTAGTTTCAGGTTTCCCCAAAACAGGCTCTTGGTCAATCCCGCTTCCTCCCTAAACCCTAAACCCTAAACCCTAAACCCTAAACCCTAAACCCAGAAGTGCCCCTGAAAGCCACCCGGGCCGTCTTCTCAAACACATTTGCACTTCTTGTGGACTTTTTTTTACAATAAACCCTAAACCCGGTACCATGAGAATCTCATGTTCGCAATAAGGGAGTTCCAGCAACAGTTCCCCCCTTGTACTAACAGTCCTTGATTGGGATCATAATTCAGGGGGTACTATATTCCCTATCCCTAAACCCTAAACCCTATTAAGGACTGCTAGTATAAGGGAGTTCCAGCAACAGTTGAGCAGCACCCACCTTGCGACCCCGCCCCAGATCGGTCCTTGGTTGTTGAGGATGCCCAAAACCTAACTTTTTTGTAGGTTACCGGGTTTAGGGTTTAGGGTTTAGGGTAGATTACCTAAGAAGCCTATGAAAGGGTTCTATGGCCATAACGCAAGGGTCCACCTTCTGCGCCAAGGAAGCATTAGTCAATGCTCGGGCAAAGCGAGGCGACTACATACAAACGGAGGCATGCAAGAGTTTGTCTGGGGTGGAGGTTAAGTCGCATCTTCTTGTGTAAAGTCTCATCTCGTGCGCACGTGCACACCACTGGGGTAAAAATTCCAAGACTGGTCAGCACGCAAATGCATCCCCCGCTTGCTAAACTTGAGCCTGTGGGCCGAGTGAGGTTTCGGACCTCATATGCAGTAAAGCGATGGGAACGCGATACCCCATGAGTTTTAACTGAGGATGTACATACAATTTCTTGCTGCTGCTCATATGCCTTTGTGATGGGACGTGACGCGGGGCTGATGTGACTTCGCTTGCAACCACGTGCCTTTGGGGAGATGCGACTTGACCTTGCCCCATGTATTTCCGGATTCCCTGAACCTCAAACGCCCCGATTTAGGGTTTAGGTTTAGGGTGTAGGGTTTAGGGTTGTCAAGGGTCTCTTTCAAGTCGCAAAGCCGAGTCGTCACACCAGGGCAAGAAGGGCTGTCATGTTTTGGCATACGGGAAGTTAGAACCAGACGGGGAGAGAGAGAGAGAGAGAGAGAGAGAGAGAGAGAGCGAGAGCGACAGCGAGAGCGAGAGCGAGATATACATATATATATATACATATACTTATATGAAGATAGACACACACACATACATACGTGTATAGAGATACACTAAGGTGCCGGTGGTTGAAGTGGGTCTGGGGGGGCTGAGGGGAATTCAGGGGGGACTTGGGGGTTGAATTCTAAACGAGCTGGGCCAGGAAAGGGGGTGTCCAGAAAGGAGGCTTAAGACCGGGATGCCCTCTGAGGGCTTAGGTTTAGGGTTTAGGGTTTAGGGTTTAGGGTTTAGGGTTTAGGGTTTAGGGTTTAGGGTTTAGGGTTTAGGGTTTAGGGTTTAGGGTTTAGGGTTTAGGGTTTAGGTAGTTTGTATTCGGGACAGAGCTGGGCTTTCAGGTGCTCGTTGTCTTTAACTAGGTCCCCGAGCAATCCCAGAATTCGCAGGCTTGCCATTTCTTTGCATAGTGGGGTTTAGGGCTTAGGGAAGCAAACCTCGACAAAGGGAATGAGGGTGCTACACCCTAAACCGTAAACCCTAAACCCTAAACACCCAAAAGCGACATTTGCACGGAAGACCCGGACCAGTCACTATCTAGCTTTCGGGTCTGAGTGTCGATTATGCTGCTACCTGGATCTGTCGGGTACGCCCTAAAATCCCCAAAACCCAAACAACCTACCAAAGCCCTAACAACCCAAGGAACCTCAACCCCGAAGACCCCAAGACCTCAAAGCCCTAAGACCCCAAAACCCTAAAACCCTAAACCCGAATTTCCCTAAAACCCTAAACCCTATGAAGAGTTGACATCTTTCGTCGTTTGGGTCGGTTTTCCTCTGCTGGCGTTGGTCGCAGAATCGTCTTCACACTGCGCCCCTTCGGCGGGTTAACGGGTTTAGGGTTTAGGGTTTCGGGTACCAAAAAAGTAGGTTTTGGGTCCTTCCGCCAGTGTTTAGACAATGTCGGGTCTATGGCTTGGGCTTTCGGCTTGCGGTCAGCTTCCGGCAGGCACTACTGCAAGAGATGACTGAGGCTTCTCGGCCCGCAGCGTTGAGTTTTTTTTGTGCGTTTTTTTTTTTTTTTTTTTTTTTTTTTTTTTTTTTTTGGGGGGGGGGGGGGCGGGTTAGGGTTTAGAGTTCGGGTTTAGGGTTCAGGGTTTGGGGTTTAGGCGTTCAGAGTTTAGGGGGTGTTTAGGTTTGGACTTCGTTGTTCAGAGAGAGCTGTGGCAGAGTTTGTACCCGTCCCCACCACTACCAGTTACTACTTTGTTGCACCATACCGACGACGTGAAATGCTAGGCTGCCAGGCCCTTGTTCGCTTGCCCCTCGAAAACCGAAAAAAGGCCCATTTTGTTCCTAGGTTGTCATGGGGCTGTTTGGTTCCTATTCCTGTTCCGTCCTGGGTCCATAGTGCCCTTCCTCCCCTTCCAAAGGCTTGACATCCCTTGAACTCAAAAGGGGTTTAGGGTTTAGGGTTTAGGGTTTAGGGTTTAGGGTTTAGGGTTTAGGGTTTAGGGTTTAGGGTTTAGGGTTTAGGGTTTAGGGTTTAGGGTTAGGGAGTGGTCCTCCCCCCCCTCCCCCCCCAATCAAATGAGCAGGCTGCATGTGGGCCATCAACTGCAAGCTAGAAGGCCGCAATCAACATGGCAAGCCTTGCTGGTCCCGTAGTGCGACTTCTACCGAAGAATTCCGAACTCTCCTGCTCCATTGTGCCTGGTTGCCCAGTGGTAGCCTGTTTTTTTTTTGGGTTCTGGGTCTCCTTGTAAAGTAACCAACCCAAAAAAGGGTACCCTCATTATAAGATGGTTACTGGGCTCCTGTAAGTGTAGGGTAGGAGAGCTAGGCGGCGATCCCCCCCAACGTCGTGAGCATCACCTCCGTGATGGACGCCTGCGCGGCTTGGCGAAGCCCTAAACCCTAAACCCTAAACCTTAAACCCTAAACCCACTGTAGATCAAGCCATCAGAAGAACATGGGGCATGTAATTCTGTGAGGGCAAAAGTGCCCGGTGGCTGAATTGTAGAACCCTGGTTGACCCTAAACCTTAAACCCTAAACCCTGATCAAATCCCTTTTACGCCAACTTTAAAAGCGCCCCATCTTTCCGAAGAAGTAGTGTTGCCGGTATTGGTCCCTGCAATGTGGCCTGCGTGTCAGCTAGGCGGGCGGCAAAAAAAAACCCTAAACCACATTTTTTTGGGGGGGCGTAGTTGGAAGGTAAGGCTTGAATACCAGACACATGCTCACCTAGTTGGAGCACGTTACAAGCGGAAGACTTGGAGTGAACCACTGCTAAACCCTAAAGCCTTACCGGGCTTGCGGTCTATGGGGTCTAGGATGTTGGAATTTTGGGCTTGTTGTCAATTTGCTTAGGGTTTGGGGGTTAGGGCTTGGGGCTGATCGCGGATGAGGGCTAGGGACGGTTTAGGGTTTGGGGTTTAAGGCGTAGGGTTTAGTTGCAGACCCCTTGTAGTCTAAAGAACCCTTCGGTTAACGTTGACATGCCAGCCAAAGCCGCTGCTGTATCGGCCTTGTCGGGCTCACGGGCATTCGAGTGCTTACTCGGGGCTTAGGTATCCCATGCGTATACATCTATCTATCTATTCATCTATCCATCTTTCTTTCTTTCTATATTTATTTATATGTATATGTGTACTTGTATTCGTTAAACTCTCTTATTGCGAGACCCTCATCCTCGTTCTCGTTAACTTTCGAGCGCGCGGTACTAAACCCCATCTCCTCCCCACCCCTGGTTCGTGCAGTAATGGATCGGTTTAGGGGGTTGAGGGTAGGGTTTAGGGATCCCTTCTGAACCTGAATCCTCTACGGGAAGTCACAATGGGCCCCTTAATACGGCCCCTTGCCTTCTTCAAAGGGCTCTGAAGTACAGCCCCTTGGGTATACAGGGTATATGAGGGGTATAGAAAGGTCACCAATGAATTAAGGACCCATGTGAAGGGACCATGGAACTTCCCCAAGCGAATCCACACGTCCCTACGGCCACGAACCTAGGTTGGAGGTTCACGGGGTTTAGGGTTCAGGGCAGTTTAACTAGGGTTCAGGGTTTAGGGTTTCTACTGTTTAGACTCCTGGCTTTGCAGTTGCTGCTTAGAGCATTGAGTGTAGGGTTTCTACAGTATCTACTGTATCGAGTTTTATTGCGTTGTCTACTGCTCGCAGGTTTAGAAGAACTACTGAGTTACTAAGCCCATAACCCTCCCTCGCCCCCAAAAAAACCAAGCCCAGTCCCGGTACGAGCCTTGTTTGCTGGAGAATCTGGGCATTTCCCAACAGAGAGGGGTGCCCCTCAACACATTCAAAAAAGCGGTATATAGGGGTCGGAATAATTACTAATAGTATTCTCTTAGGGTCCCTTTGTAGTTATGCTCTAATACACCCTCCCCCCCCAAAAAAAAAAACAATAAAATAAATAAAAATAAAATAATAACCTGTTCCAGCTATTACCTCCCCCATATTGGCATTTAATCTAGCAAAGGGCACCCCGATTTTCGACAATTTCGCCCGTGCTACGGCCTTCTGCTGGGTTTGCTTAGTGCTTGCCCTTCCGTAGGGCAGCTTGTGGGGGTTTGGCTGAGCGGACCTTCGAAATCCTTCAGGAAGTTTAGGGTTTAGGGTTTAGGGCAAGCCCCTTGCAAAAAAGGCTAAGGTTTAGAGTTAAGGCAGCCTCCTAGAATATCCTTTGCCAGTTGAGGGCTTTCCCTTACAAAGCCCCTTCAAACCAAAAAGGGTGCCCTTTTTGATTCCTCGGTTACTCTTGGGTCCTAAGCCCTAAGCCCTAAGCCCTAGACCCTATTCCTAGGTTCGGTAAGCCACGCTTGTGTATGGCAATCCACAGTCCCAGGTCAAGGCCCTTCTTCTCCTTTTGCAGGCTTTAGGCTCAGGCGTTAGGTTCCCTTATAAGCTTCTTTGAACCAAAATGGGTGCCCTTTCCTATGCCTCGCTTACTCTTGGGTTTTGGCGACGAGAGGGCCCCCAAATCCCATTGTCCCAGGTCAAGGCCCCCATGGTCGGCCCTTATTCCCTTTTTGTAGGGTTGTTTTGAAGGTTCCTTTCAGATGACCCTGCAACCCTAAACCCCAAACCCTAAACCCTAAAACCATAAAACCCTAAAACCCTAAAGCCAGGTCAAGGCCAAGCAGCTGTCCAGGGCAGAAAATTGGCTCCGACGACTGCTCCAGCAGGGAGGTACCGCATGTTGTCGGGTTTAGGGGGAGCTCGCCAGGGTTTCGATGTCAATGTGCCCTGCCTAGAAGCTCTATATATAGATATATGCAGGCACATATGTATATATGTATATGTGTGTGTACATACATACATACGTACATACATACATACATACATACATACATACATACATACATACATACATACATACAGATTATACATATACATAGGTATAGATTATTTATTTATATATATATATATGTATGTAAAAAAAAGTCTGCTCTCCAAATTATGTAAGAAGGACTCCAGAAGGGATTGTGAAGTCGACCAGCACTGGACTTGCACTAAGCCAATGCAATCACAGCCCGGTCACGCTGTTTTACGACTTCGCGAGTTCAAGCACTTGTGCAGCTACGCCTGAGTGCGTCCGGTCGGACCGCACAGCAACCTAGGAGCTACTGTACGACTCTACCGTGCTCAAAGGCACAAGCTCGGTACTTGAGCCAAAACATTGGCATTGTTACGAATTGCAAAACTACACATGCAAGGGAAAACAACAAGCTGCACTAGCACTAAGCAAGCACTCCATGCATGCTTTGACCTGCTCACATTCGCCCCTCAGCCGAGGCTTCCGGCTCACCAAGAGCTCATAGTGCGTCAAGCACTTCAGCAACGCGGCAAATGGGGTAGGGCGAGGGTGTCGCGTGCGACTCTGGTAGAGCCCGCACATCATGAGCATAGGCATGCGGCTTGGGCGGCAGCCCGCACTACCAAACGGACGCACGACGACAGCAGCCCTCTACGACCCTAAACCACCCCAAGTCGCGAGCGCTCACCTTTGTGCAGGCAGGCGAGGCTCCAGAGTACTGGGCAGGTCTTTATGCTGCTAGTGCAAAGCTATGGTACAAATGGTACACTGTACACACTACCGGCCCTAAGCTACGGCTACGGCTACTCACCTATCCAGAACTACCCTACGGGCTACCGGACTCAGCGAGAGCCGCGCACATTGCTTGTGCCGCAGGCAGTGCAGCTCGCACGCGCTTCGGCGAGCGCACTGCCGCGACCAGGACACGGTCCGCAGCAGCCGCAACGGGCTGGGAAGAAAAGTGCGGGTAGGCAAAATGGGCAGGGAAAACCCCTGCCGCGGCTCTTCGCCCGCAAGCAAAACACAACCAAAAGAGGCTCGACAGCGTGCCGCGCTGTGATGCCTGAGAAATCGCGTGGAAACCCCTCCCACGCCGCGCCGACTGGCCGCAGCCTACTCGATACCCTGTGGAGCAGTGTTGGGGGCACGAGTGGCGTTGCCAGCCACGTTGGAGCTACTGGCTCGCTCCAACTGAGGGCGCTTTGCAACCGCCTCATCGAGGGAGAATGCCTCTGCCGACACCCTCAGAAAATCCTCGATGTAGGACTGCGCGACCGGGTGCGTCTTGGGGACCTCCAGCCTAAGCCCTGCCTCCGCATTGGCCTTGCTGCTCGTGGTAAAATTGAGGCTCCCAATCAGCACCACCGCGCCATCAGGCCGCAGTAGGCAAAGGGCCTTGGCATGCTGAAGCCCTTGAATCCCAGTGCCTACCTTAGCCCCGCGGCCGTCGCGAGCATAGGCGTCGCGCACGGATGTGCCGCAACCCACCTTCACCTCGGCGCCTGCAGCCGCCAAGCGTTTCAACGCTTGCCACTGCAGTTTGGTGCGGTGGCATTGCCCCATGTCGGCGACAATCCGAACGCCTGCGCCCTTGCTAAGCGACGCTTCGATTGCCTCGATGCAGGATGGGCAATCTAAGCTGTACGCCCGGATGTAAACCACATCCTCTGCTGCTCCAGACCCAAGCAGCGTTTGGGCGGCCTGAACGTATGGCCCGCCCGCAAGGAATTCCACTTCTTTGACTGGAGAACTCCTAGCGGGAACTGGGCCCTTGTTCCTCCGGCTGGGTGTGCGCGCCACAGTGGCAGTGGTGGCACGTTGCACGGAGCCGGACTGTGCGTGGGCTGCGCTCGCTCCATCTGCCGGGGCCGCGGCCAGGTCACGACCCGCGAGCCCCTGAAAGCAGGAGAGCCCGCGGCTCTTGGCCGCAAGTTGGGAGAAACACCCTTCACTGTTCCCCAAACCCAACACCACCTTACCCTTAGCTAGGGCATCGGAGGCGGTACTCCGAATGGAGTCTGTGAGCGCAGGACCCGCGCCTCGCTGGGCCGCGTGCAAAAACCTAGGGAACGAGCGGTGTCCATTGCGGCATCGCAATGCCCGCAACGTCCCTCTGCCAGGTAAGCACGACAGCCACAGGCAGCTGTCTCCTCCTTGAGGTGCACCCAAACCTTATGGGTCACCCCTTTCTTGGTGCTCGCGACCTCAAACGGAGCCAAGGAGTTGAGACAGCCGCGCCACAGGGGCCGCGGTGTTGCCATGTCGCAGATGCGCAATGCGATTGGCAACGGCACGACTCACGTACCACAGAACAGCGCCGCACAAGATCACTACCACCAGAGTGATGGCTGTTCCGGCGACCCACACGGTCCGCCTCGCCCCGTGACCGATTTCCTCGACCACGTCGGCCGAAATCGTTGCAACCGCGTGCATCGAGTCCTCGACAACGTGCACAGCCCCGCGGTGCAGCTGCAAGGCAATCGGCGCCGACGCTGCGGCCGCCAGGCCCCACCAGCCGTTGATGTTCCCGTTGAGGGCATGCATCAACCGATTGAGGAGCCCGCGACCCAGGAAAAGGGGGGTCCGCGGCGGAAGCGGAACACTCGGCGGCGGCCGGGCCGACCCGCGCGGGAAGGCTGGGACCCAGCTTGTGCTTGGGCGGGGCTGGAGCGCGGCAACTATGCCCGCGGCGTAAGCGCCCCAGGCGTACTTGCCCCTCCCCTTGGGCTTGCCCTTGGCATCGGACTTGCCTCTGCCCTTCGGCTTGCCCTGGCCCTTGCCACGGGCGTCTGCCCAAGCACTCCAAGGGTCGCGGCCCTTGCCGTAGGTCGCGTCTTCGCGACGTCGCTTACCACCCCTCTTCTTGTGTTTGTTTCTGAGAAGGGGTTGGATGGTTTCTTCGTCCATCGCACGATTCGCCAAAAGGATCTCGTGCTCCAGCTCGTCCTGGCTGCTTTCGGAGCCGGAGTTCCTTTCCTCGCCGCGCCGCGGATCAGGGATCCCGCGAGAGACGACCTCTGCCAAACGGAGAGGGGTGCTGCAGCGAAAGCACAACTGCCTGAATGAAAGGTTCCATTCATAGCAGTTAGGGCACTGCCACCCTGCAATGCGGAGCGCTTCGCTGATGTGATCATCGCGCTCCGCCTTCTCCGCCTGGCGCCGTTCTCGCTTCTTGGCGCGCTCGGCCGCCTGCGCCTCCTCGGCCGCCTGGAGGGCTTCAGCGAGTTCCTCATCGCTGAGAAGCCTCGCGGCATCTGCCCGCGCTTGTTGTTCTTCAAGCTCTTCGGCAGAAAACCTCCGCCTCCACTGCTCTGGCGCGGTTTGAGGGTCGACCTCCCACCACCCGATGTCGATCCCGTTGATCCATCGGCCGTCGCACGGGGCGCCCGCCTTCGGGCCGCCCGCGTGCGTGGTGAGGCACTGGTCCTCGGTGACCGGGTTAATGGCTTCGCAGAAGAAGCACCGCCAGCTGCCGTAGGGGTAAAAGCGGCCTTCGACGTAGGCTCGGTTGGCTGGGAGGGCGACCTCGTCCGCCTCATCCGCGGTGGCTGCCTCCATCTCAACCGAGACCTCCTCGTCCTTGACGACCTCAGCCTCCTCCTCCTGTTCCTCCTTGGCCAGGGGCTCTTCTCGCTCCCGGCCGACGTTGAGGTGGGACTCAGTGCGAACCTCGGCGCGCATCAAAATGACGTCAAGGCTATCCGCGGCTGGGTCGCCCGCGAAGAAGGAGTCGATCTCCTTGGCATGGAGATCGTCAAGAGGCGTCACCAGGTCCGGCGAGTAATCTCGCTTGGAGCGACGCTCGGCCAGGCGTCGCTGGACGTCGCTCTTCGGCGGCCCGAGGGCCCGCCCGCGCGGAGCGGCCTCCCGCGGAGGCCCGGGATCGGCCTCCTCCGTGGGCTCGCTCTTGGGCGTGGACCCTCCATCGCTTCCCTCTGGAGGGGGATCCAGCTCGGGGTCATCGCGAAGCCACCCCGGTGGATGTCTACCACCATAAATGTGGTGCGATCCATCCTCAAGCTGGATTCGGTCCCCTCGCTTCAGGAGCGGGACCCTCGAGTGATCGTACCCGTTGGCTTTGTGGTACCTAATCACTCGGAGCATGGGCACCTCCCCATACCCACCGTCCTTTCCTCGGCGGAACAACCGTCCCCGCCAGTCCTGACGAAAAGGGTCAAGAGGTGCGGAGGGGCTGATCCCCAGGTTGGGCGGAAGGGAGGCGCCATGGCAGGCCGCCTGATGCAAGTGGTATTGCACTAGCGACTCAAAAGCCAGCCCGCATCCAGGGGCGGAGCACCCATAGTGGCCGTCAGCATTGGGGCGAGGCACCTCTGGGGCCGGGGCGGACTGGACAGTCCCGCCTCTTGAAGGCCTGGCGGAACTGCTCGCTCCCTCAACCCCGGGGGCATCCTGACCATCGTCAGACACCTCTTCCCCGTCGGCGCCCGACTCTTTTTTCTCACGGCGCAGAGTTTTGAGGGACTCCTCACGCTTGGTGATCTTCTCCAGCTTCACCATCGCGGTTCCCGCAACCTCCAGTATTTTCGACTGGAGCTTCTGCGCTCTCAGAAGAGCTTCGGACCGCGCGAGGTACTCCTTCGCGCTGGTGACCACCGACTGGCCGAGCACGAGGACTCCTTCCTCTGTGCTCTCGGCCTGGGCCCCACTAGCGGGCTCCTCGTCCTCCTTTACTTTGACCGCGGCTTGGGGCGCCCGCGTGTCGGGAAGATCCGAGCTGGAACTATCTTCCTCGACACCTTCAGGTTCTTGGGCTGCCTCTTCCTCGAGCGAGTCTTCGGCCTCGAGGACATTGGGGCCAGGGACGTTGCGCCTAGGGTACACCTTGGGCTTCGCTGGAACGATCGAAGTCCTA